CCATACAAAATAGAAATTTTTGGTGTGGCCCAAAGTGAAAAGTGTAGATGAGTAGAAACAGTCTTTGTGTGGGACTGCGGCAAAGGCTGAGCTTTTTGGTTTGAGGGGTTTTGTGGTTTGGGTTTTTTTGTTGTCGTTCCATGGTCTTTTTGTTGTTGTTCCAGGATTGTTTTGTTCAGTTAATGAACTGAAAACTCAGGTATCAGGCTTGTGCTGTGACTCTATACCACAAACTTCTTTGAAAAAATATTGTGGAAAAAGAGGAAAGCTGATTCCTTGTGCTTTCTCTGCAGGACAGGTAGTTCTGCTGTTTAGGCAGCGGCACTGCCTCAGCTGGTCTCCTCTTGTCCATGCTCATAGTCCAGCCCAGAGCAAAGCACTGGCCCAATTCTGTAAAGGCAACACTTGCGCAGACCTGGTTTGGAAAGCTGAGCTCCAGAGCAAATGCTGCAAGCTGTTTATTGTCATAGCTGCTCTCATATTACCTTTCTGCTTTATATTTTATTTGTGAATCATGTATGGGCCATCTGCCATCAGAGTGTTTCTCTAGGTTTGTATTGCACCTGCCACATTTGGATTGAAACTCATGTCTGGGTTCCCAGACACTACATGTTATTTATAGTTTTACTTGAATGACTTTGGGGGAAAAAAGGACCTCTCACTAAGTAAATAATAAGATTATATTCAAGTGCCCAGCAAAACAAAGTATGGAGACATTTCAGGGACAGGAAAAAGGAAGTGAAGTTATCTTTCAACTTCAGTTCCTCAAAGTTTTGGTGTAAAATGCCATAAACTCCCCTTCCTCCTTTGGTGCTTCTAGTTGGGAGAAACTATTTGGCAGTTCTGTTGAGCTCTGTCTTAATTTAGCAAGCAGTATGGTTGCTTTCTAAAAGAAACTCTTATTTAGAATTCCCTCTTTGTGTTATCTTTATCGTCTAGTTGGGACTTAATGCTACTCTTTTCTTCTTAATCACACTGAGATTTCATGATAAAAAATGTTCCAGAAGCAAAAGGAAGAAGTGATTGATGGAACCAATATCTGGAGTTTGGTTTTACTTCAAAGCAGTATTTGAACTGTTAGTCACCTTGTAGAACCAACCCTACAGCTGAAGAAACTTAAGTGTTGGACATATTTTGCTTTAGTTCTGCACATTTGTCAAAAAAAGTCAAGGTCTGTTTTTTTAAAGCCCTGAAGAATTGGACAGGCCATGATGAACACTTTGCAGCACTAGGCTTTGCTCCGCAGCTCCTCACACTGTAAATTATTTACCTTTCCAGGAGATCGCCTTGGAAATATTCTTCAAAAATGGTTACTCTAGATTTCTGGTCTTCCATGACAGTGACCGAAATAAGATATTTAAAAGGTAATGACTAGCTCACAATAATGTGGGAATGCTCCTGGTGATGCTTGGTATACCACTCTTATTTATCCTCATGTCAGGTATCTGTGTTGTGTTGCTACAGGAGCCTTGTTTTCCATTTTTTCCTTGAGTTTTAATGGGTTACACTTTAGCTATAAAATTTTAATTTTGCTGACCTGTGGGCTCTTTGGAGCATTACACAGCCATTGACTTATCAAGGGATCTAATGTGCAGGACTTTTCTGGTACCCACTGGTGTTGTGTGTCCCTTCATCCCAGGAAATTTTGACTGTAGCTGTTTTCCTTCCTCCCACTGAGATGAGAGCCACCTCCACCTTACTGCACAGTATTGGATGAAAGAAAGTTTCTGCTTTCTTCCAACCCTCATAGTATCACTAGATTCTTTAGGAATAATATGTTTTTGTTTCTCTGACTTTATTTTTGTAGAGTTAACTTTTAATAATGGCATTTTAAAAAAATTCTCCTTATGTGCTTGTCTTGTTTAATGGAACTTGAATGTAAGACTATGAAGCGATTAATTTGCACTTTGTTTTCTTGCATGTTGTTGTCTACTGCCGTTCTGGCCATTAGATCAGGATTGCATTCACTGGCCTCTACACAGGAAAATTCACTCCAGCACTAGTGCTTCCTGTACTAAATTCTGCAGCCTGAACTGAGCATTGGTACTGTTAATTTCTAAAGAATCATAGGAATTCCTTCTGCTCCTGAAATGTCTGAACAATCCCTATTGCAGTATTGCATAAAAAAGTCAGTGCAGATCTGTTCTTCCTTTTCAAACAGGCTGCATAGTGAGGCTACTTACAATCACCAGGATCTGCCCCAGAGCCAGCCCTTAACTTTGCTCTCTTTGAGTTCTGACAAGTATCTCTTGCAAGAATCTCTCAAAGGCAGTTCAAGACAAGGTTTTGATCCTCAGCTAAAGGTCACCAAAACTGTATATTTCAAGGGTATCATTTGTCTGATATCACAGCACAGCAAATGTAAATATGAATGGCTCAGATAATGGTATTTCTGCCATTTTTGCTATATAAATTTCTGAGTGGCTTCTTATTCTCTGACTTTAATAGCACCTTAAACTAAAAAAATCCATAGCCCTGTATGTAAATTCAAAGTCCTGTTGGGGAAAGAAACTGCTTTTATCCAGCCCATAGCAAGTCCTTAATATTAGATCTATGCTTTTGCCTGTTGTCTTATAGCTTTGTCCTAGGTTAGGGAATCAGGACAATGCTGTGGCTTCCTGGAAAAAGTTGTGAGGACGAAGCAGTTATATAGGTATGTAACGTGTCTTAATAACCATTTGCCTAACTATAATGTGCCCTTTCATATTTCCTATAGATTTTGTTCTTTCCAACCTGCTTTGAAGTCGAAGGGGATAACAGAAGAATCCCTAAATATAAGGTAAAACATAGAAAACATTGGATAACTGTAATAATGCAATTATGTGAATAAATTGCACCTTTAAAAAGCATATAGAAACATACCTATTTGTATCCTTCCTTTTAAAGAGACAAAGGTGTTGCCAGAACTTCAAAAAGCATTCTAGCATACTTCATCACACTATGAAGATGAGTGTCAAAAAGCTGACTGTGCAGAGATGATCAATAATTATTTTCTCATTCATATCACTTTATTGGTAAACTCTACACAAATCGTTACTGTGGGAAGAGACAGTGAGGTGAGGACAGAGCTGATCCACAATGCTTTTGCATAATGACCTCTTCATTGTGTGCTCAGGGCAGAGAGTGATGTACGTATGGATGTTTTGGCACATTGTATTAGATCCACAGTGGATATTTTAGCTTGTCCCTCAGATTTACTGTTGCAGGAAAAAAATTTTCTCCTAGTGGGAGGTGCTTGAGAGAATGTTTCATGCATTCCATGACTTAGAGTAACTTTTCTCAATTTAGGTATCTGGGGAGCACAAGCCTAAGTGCCTAATTGGTGTCCTCTGAAATGATTTTCTGAGGCTGGAATTGGGTTGAGACCTGAGGTGCACATTGCCCCAACTCCCTGATTTGGGACCTCAAAAGGTGGGAATGTCTTGAGACAAGATGCATTAGAGCTTCAAGAAATTTGGGCATTAACTGGTCTGGGAGTTATTGGAAGAAACACTTGACTCACAGTTAATCTCAGAACTTGAGACAGGCTGCATGCCTAGGTCTAAAGTAGCCTATCCTGAATCCCAGTAAGTAGCCTATCCTTTCTCCACTGGCTGAGAGAAGCCCCTACACAACTTATTTACTCTGAGGATGTAAAGGATCTTTGGCATAGCTTTGGCTGGACCATGTTAGAGCATGAACTGAAATAAAATAAATGTAACATTTATTTTAATCACTGCCTAAGTATTGAAGCCAGAAAAGTTGTGTTAAAAGTGGAAAGTTAGAGAAAATTACCTCAGTAGGTGTGCTTCCCTTTACCAGTCAGAACTAATGGACTGAGGACTTTATGAGTTTACTCTTCCCTTGTTTGAATTGTGGAGCTGTTTCAGATTTAGAAAATTTCAAAAACAGCACTTGAGGCTCCTTCCCCATCTAGGGGGACAATGGCCAACTTCCACATCTTTCCAGCTTTTCCTGCCATACCTGAGACAAGGAGGCAGGCCAGATTAAATTCTTTGCCAAGACACACTATTAATAATTGCACAGTTGAATCACAGAAAGAATTACTAGCTGGATGCATCATATGACATCGAGGTAATAGAATTTCTAGGAAGCCCCTTATCAGTTTTTCCACCTAGTCCATGGGAAATAAACAGGAGCTCTGACTCCCAGGCTCTACTGTAGTCATTTAAAAATAAAGTGCTCCTGGCACTTTATTCTTCATTCAAATAAGCTTAAATGTTTGCTGTCACCATAGGTTATTATGGCCACTGCCAGCCCTTCTCATGTCATGCCTGAGTGCTTTTATAATCTGCTCATTGCTTGTCCCTGTGTATTGCTGTTTGCAGGATGTCAGCACTCTCTGCCCTAAGGATGTGATTTCAGCAAATGAATGTGTGTGCTCAGGTGTACATGTGCATTTGTACATGTCGACAGAAAGCTAAAAGTGCTGTGGGGATACTAGACCTGACTTTGTCAATTCAGAAGCTTACTCTTGGATCATGGAAAACAGTGACTCTTCTCTTAACCACTTTAGTCACTGCTTAAGTGATAAACCTGGGACTCTTAGATATATATTTTTCCTACCCCTTCTACATCCTCCTTGGAGAGAGATTCAGAGGCTGGCAAAACGCTATGAGTGTGGGCAGTTGTGCTGACTGTGTTGTACATCTTGGAAAATTGCATCTAGGTATAGCACTCAAAATCCCAAAGAACTTGCAGAATCTGGCCCCTTCATGGCAGCCAGGATCACTGGTTGTCTATATCTAAGTGTTGTGTTTGTACTGCTTAGCTCCTCCTGAGCATAACGCTTGTGTTTACTGCCTCTGCTGAACTGGAACAGGCTCGCAGTTCCTACACTGGCAGTGCCTGTTTGAGACTTTGAGAGCTTGGTGGCAGCCACCAGCAGCAGAAGGTTCCCAGGTCTTTTCCTCTTCCACTAAATGGTATTTACTGAGACTAGCTGAACTGTGTCTTGCCCTATGAAAATGAGCAGAAATAATACTTGAGGCTTAGTGGTCAGAATGGATTTACTAGAAAAACCTGTTGTTTAAAAGATCCTTTCACTGGGCATTGCACACACAACAGACCCCAAAAAGTCCAAACATGTTGTAAGGACAGGCCCAGATGTAAACAGCCTTTTCCAAATACACGTCTGGTTTTGTTCTGGTTTTCATTCTAAAGACCACAGACATCTGCTTCTAAAATGAAACTGATCTTTAAAGAAGCAGAACTCCAGGAAAACAGAGGAGGAGGGTAGTCCACTTTTTATTTGCTTGGGTTGGACTTCATGGAACATCGTCTGTAGACTGCCCTGGTGTATTTTCCAGATTTTCATCTTTCATTCTCCATTCTTCTTGGTTATCAATTGCAGTGGAATTGGGTGTAGTGAGTGAAGAGAAACTTGGCTTATCTGAGGGGCCGGGTGTCACATCCTCTAACTTGTGCAGCTCATCCCTCTCACCCTGACACGTCTGCAGGCAGGAATTGCACAGATCTTTCTTTTCTACTAAGTAAAGTGATTCTATGCGTTTAACGGTGTCAATTGGCTCGTCTTCCTTTGCAAATTCTGGTAAAGGGTTTCTTTTTACATTCAGCCTCTCAAGCTTGGGGAGTTTTTTCACACTCTTCGGGATGATGGTCAAGGAGTTGTCAAAGAGCCCTAGTTCAATAAGTTCCCTCAGGGCCCCAAGAGTGGTGGGAATAGTCTCAAGACAGTTTAAGCCAAGGTTGAGAGTACGCAGGTTCTTGAGACGGGTCAACTCTTCTGGTAGACCTTTTGTGGTCAACTTGTTGTTGCACAAATTCAGGTAAGTAAGGTTCTGAAGCGTGCCTATTTCTGCAGGCAGCTCATCAATCTGATTACTATGCAGGTCCAGCCACATCAGATTCTGGAACTTCTCAATGATGTTTGGAATCTTTCTTAACATGTTTCTGCTCAAATCAATTTCCTCCACATCAGCCAGCTCCAGAAGGCACTTGGGGAAGACGGCAATGCCCATTTTGCTTAACTCAAGACGGCGCCTTCCATTAAAAAGTACCCGGACTGCATTTTTGGCCACTTTCAAGGTGATCCTTTTCCCTTGTGGACCTTTTCCCTTGGGCATCTCTCTGCTGACAGACACACTAGATCCTGTGAATAAAATGGAAGAATTCCAATAAAGCTTCTAAAAGCCATGGCTATAAATCACACAGCTACATGTTAAAATTACTGCTAGACTTTTCTGAAGCTATTTTTTTTTGAGGTCAGAACTTGGCAACTGAAAATCTGCAACTCTGAAAAATCTTCCTCAAAGTATTTTCAGTAGGTGAAATTCTAATAATTTACAATGTTATTTCATTGCAATGTAACATCTATGTTACATTACAGGGTGAAATTATAAGTGGGACACATTTGCTGTCTTTCATTCCTAAATACTGATTTGAGCTTAGGATATAATGAAACTGAATGAAATATGTTATTATCCATCAGCCAGTTGAGGACTGAAGAAAAATATACTGTGGGTCTCAACACAATCCTTAGAGACTGCATTAAAATAAGCTATCCAAAATTATCTCATTCTACCAACATTTGCCATATTTACAGGCTTGGCATTTGCTAACAGGCTGGTTAAATTTATTGTGTAATGAACTTGAGATTTGGGCTCTGGATGTTATTGAAAGATTCAAAGTTTAAAGGAAATTATTAAGAATTTTGTTTTGACCAAGACTCAGGAACATAGTGGGCTCCCAGACTTGCCAGAAGGACTGGCAATTCATACATCACCTACAGGGCAAACTGCAACAGGGATTGATGTCAGTGCTGCTTAATGCCATGTTAAACCAGGCTTTGCTAAGTGTCTCCTCCTCTGGATACCCTAACCTTGTTATTTTGTTCATGCTGTGGGATAGAGGATCTCCCACTGCAAAGGTGCCCTCAGAAAAATGCCTATAGGTGTAGTAGTCAGACTTTTGACTCGTACTGATGCTCAGCATGTGCTACATGCTTCCTGGAATGAGGCCTGTAAGAGTATAGTCCACTTACTCGCAGGTTTGGTGAACTCTTTCTAGTCAAAGGTCATCAAATATAGTTGCTAATTATGGCTAGTGGCAAAGGAAACAGGCTGACTCCCTGGAAATGGATGACAGTGTCCCTCCCAGTGAGAGTTCAGGGAGGAGCACAGGTTATAGCTGAGTAATCTCAGGTGTGGGTGCTCTGGCATTTAATTTTGAAAAGTCAAATTGCAGCTTTGATGAGTGATTGTTTAGGACAAAATATAGATTTGTCAACAATACATGTCCCTATTAGAAAATCTTCACTACAAACCCTTCAGGCTTTTGGGCTACTCATTAATCATGTGTGAATACATGAAGAGGAAGCTCAAGCTACATCTAAGGCATTTCAGCTTCTTTTCAATTACATGCCATAGCCCAAAATAATGCAAAAGCATTAACCCAGCTACCACCTACTCTCCCAAGAGCTCTGTAATGAGGCAGATGCTTCAGAAAATACTGGAAGTAGTGCGGTGGATTCAGTGTTGCCCTGAGGGTGAGTTCCAAAATAGGTTTTTTGCTATTTTACATGAAAATATTTAAACACGTGTTTAGTTAGATGTTTCTGTGTGCCACTCCCCTGAGTACTTACAGAACCATATTACCAAGGGGCAGTGTCAATGCTGTTCTATGCTGACTGGTAACTGAAGCAAAGTACTCTTTCCACCTTTGTTGATGTTAGTGTAAATAATTTGCCCAGGAGTGAGTAGAAAATTCTGGAGATCAAAACAGCAAGATTTTCTGATCACAGCTCACTAATTTTAAGGATTTCATGCAATATTCTTCTTGGAAATTCTGTAAAGATAAAGTTGAGCAGTGTGAGGAATGCCAGGGCCCTAATGCTGATACAGGACACCCTGAGTCCTTTGTAGTCCACAGAAGTGGGGTGACAGAAAAGATCTATAGGGGAGCTTTCTAAGTGTTGGTAGAATGGAAAGAGACTTTCTTCTTCCTGTAATTGACATGAACCAGGTGACCTTTGGGTCCGATTTTTTCTTTGTTTGAATTTTGTGTTGGACAAGTTGTCCAATACATTTGGTGCTTTTTGATAATGAAGCTTCTCAAACATGTATGCCTTTGAAAAATGAATGGGAGCCTCAAGGAAAAACATGTAATTTTTTTCCCCTAATTTCAAAATTATAGATTTCTTTTACAATGTTTTTTTAAAAACATGTTTAAATCTTAAAAAAACCACATTATATTCAATTCCTATGAACTTTTTCTATTATTTATTATTTAAAATCCAAGAGAGCATCACTGAGCCAAAATACTTTCCTATTTTAGAAAATACCATCTAGGCAAAGAATCATTCAGTTGTGCCACTGTTGGGCGAGTGGCTCCCGGTGCCGGGTCCCCTGCGCTCTGCGCGCCTGGCAGCACTAGAGGGAGCCTGGCGTACAAGGTTGAGTGCTGCACTTCAGCTGCTGCGTTTGTGTCTCTGTCAATAACCCCTTCCAAGCTGCTACAAAGTTTGAACCTGTTTTTTTCACGTTTTTAAGAAGTTCAAACAAACAGATCAGTGTGATTTTTCTCAGGACAGATCTCTTTGTATGATCCACTGCATAATGTGCAGGTTCCAAAGATTTTCTTCCCATAGCCTACTTTAGCCAGATTTTTTTTACATCCAACTGTGAACATCTCAGATGCACTGATCAAGTCCCTAAGGAGTGCTCACTCTAAATGCTATTTAATTTGGGTTAAAAGTTGGAGCCATATTTCAGACTTAGAAAAATATTATTTGCAATTCCAAAAATAGGGACTGGTACTAGAGGACTGCAGAAACATTTTAGTGTACTTGACAACTTGAAGAGGATGAATAGCTCTCCTACCTCTGCATGCTTGTAAACTAATTTATCAGTGTTTTACAGGGCTGTAGCTGGAGATAATGGAGCTTACTTAGCCATGTCTTATTGTCTTTGGTTCAGTGTAAGAGGGCCCCAGTCCTGTAGCCACTGATATTAAAAATTCAGGAATCACAGGAGTCCTCCTTGCTTAAAAGTTAATTATGCCTGTTCAATCTTATGCTCACAGTGCATCTCCTGGATGGCAGAGGGAGGGGTACAGCTGCTGCCCTACCACCTAAGAAATGATAATGAGACTTTCCACCTGTTTTCTCTAAACCTGCACCTCACTGCCGAGCTCACACTCTCGAGTTGTTGGCAAGCCTTTTCTTTGGGTGTAGTGTGCTGTATTTCTCTGATAAGATCTCACTAAAATGGATCTTGACTAGAAAACACTTTCCCTTTCTATCCACACTTGTTAGAATCTTTGGCCTGGATAGGCTTTTGAAAGTCCAGAGCTTTAGGAGTGTTTAACAGGCCCAGAGATTAAAGATCAATCTGATACAGAAATTAATAGAAAATGTATGTCAAGGATATTATGCTGTCTGTGGTGCTCAGTGCTGCTGGGAGCTGCAGGAATGGAACAGACCTGAGCATTGGTACTAAGACTGTCAGTGTCTCTCTGAGGCAAGGAAGGATTGAGGATTATCCCTTATCTACACTTAAGCACTTGCACAGGGGTCAGTCATGACCCACTGTATCTTAAGCCTGCCCCAAAAGGATTACCTGATCCTAGAAGACTGCCTATTTGGACCCTGAACATCTCTTTTTCCTTTCCTGGCCCAGGTGGGTGCAGAACTGGCCTTCTGCCTGTAGCACTGCTTGGTGCTTCAGGACCTCTTTCTCCGTGGTTCTGCCTATCATTTTCTTCTAGGGTTGGTTCTTCCCAGTTCACTGCACCTAAAGCTGCACAGGACCATCTAAGCCCATCTTGAACAACTCTGTAAGAAGTTTCCTCTGTCTTCCCTCTTGGAATTCTGAATGCTGCAGAGCAGCAAGCCCAGCAGAGTTCTACATTCCCTGCACCTCTCTGGTGAGAGGGAGGCTGTGAATTGACATGTACTAATTCACTCATGGAGTAGGTGATGCTATCATCTGTAGTGAAATACTTGAATGCAGAGCTTAAAACCAGCATTTGTACAGCAAATGATTTTGCATGAAGCCAAACAGTTCACTTCCCTGCTCACAAGCCTGTTACCATTTCTCGTTGTTGGATATGATCTGTTGTGGAAGAGATTAATTCATTGACTGTCTTAAACACCGTCTTAAATAGGCAGGTTTAGACTAAATTTCATGGTGAGTAAATAGTTTGAGAAAAGTTTCCTTTCTTAAAATTCTTATTTTCTGGATGACTTCCAGGCCACCATGCTATCAGACAGTTCAAAGTCACTTGCAAAACCAAGGCCCAACAAGAATAAGCAAAAACATTGTTTCATCTTAACCATTCTGCCAGGCTGCCCCTGCATATGATCTTACCGGCCAAGTTGCTTGAAAGGCCCGAGGGTGAGGTGCAGATGTCACAAGCTGCTGGGTTTTTCTCAGTAGTGTGGGCTCTTACTGTGCAGTTGTCCTCTGTCTGCTCTTCTTTGAATAATTAATTAGTCTTTCAGTCTGTAAATAAAGCCATGAGGATGAAACAGTCCTGTGAATTCTGCATGGTACTTCCTTGATGGAAAATGGCAGCTCTTCAAGAAGCTTGTGTGAGCATGTCAGTGAGGAGTGGCTAAAGGGTTTCCCCAACACCAGGGTCCTGCTATTCAGTGTTATTTCTGCAGTTTATGAAACTTGTGTTACCCAGCAACAGGAGTGCTACACCCTTGGAGATCATTAGCATAATGGTTGGTTCCAGAATGCAAGACCAAGCTGGAGGGAGAAGAACTGAATGGCATACAGTGCCCGGAAATGTTGTATTTCAAATTATGCCAAAAGAAAAAGCATCTGGAGTTCATTAGATGCTGTTAGCTTCTAACATTGCCTTAACTGTCCACTTTAGTCATTTGACTATTTCATTTTACTTGGCTGTAGCAGAGTGAGATATACTTGTCTGTGTGTGTTAAAACTCAGGATGTTTGTGGTACCATCCTTACCACATGCCAGATGGGGTAGATGTGGACACAGGAGGGAAGGCTCATTCAATGGTGCAGCAGAGAGTATATCACCTGCAATTTATCTGTTCATATGTATCTCTCTGTCACATCTATTTACAATATCTATCAGTGACTCTTCAAAAGTGC